TTAGTATCATAGTGATCATCACCTGCATCATAACTGCTGTCATCCTCACCACCACTATTCTTAATCATCATCATAATCATCATCATCATTTTTCCATCACAACTATCATAGTCCCATTGAAAATTACAACCATCATCAACATCATCATCATCATTTTGTTATCATAACAATTGAAACTGATGAATGGACAATCGGATGATCGGACGAACGAACGAACGAACGAATGAACGAATGAACGAACGAACGAATGAACGAATGAACGAACGAACGAATGAATGAATGAATGAATGAATGATGAATGAATGAATGAATGAATGATGAATGAATAAATGAATGAATGAATGAATGAATGAACGAACGAACGAACGAACGAACGAATAAACGAATGAAGGAAAGAACGAATGAAAGAATAAACGAAAGAATAATGAAAGCCGCTTTGCTAATATAAATAAAATATTTCTAATAATTAAATTTCAAATGAAACTTTTTTCGAGAAAAAAATGCTAACCATCATCATCACCACCATCACCACCATCATTACCACCACCATCACCAACCATCATTTTCACCATCAACATCATTATCATCATCACCACAGCCATCAACGTCATCATCATAATTACCATCACCTTTGTTATCGACATTATAATTAACAGCCTCAACATCGTCGTCGTCATCATTATCATCATCGTCGTCATCATCATTATCATCATCGTCGTCATCATCATTATCATCGGATTCGGCGCGAAACATAATGAGAATTTGTCGCTAAACAGATAGAACCAACAAAAATAAAAATGTTGCGAATGATGATGATGTTGATATTGTTGAGGTTGTTGATTTGGATTTTTTGTTGTTTTGTTGATGTTGATGTTGATGTTGATTTTGTTGATGTTGATGTTATTGATGTTGGTGATTTTGTTGATGTTGTTGGTTTAGATGTTGAAGTTGTTGACGTTGATGAAGATGATGGTGGTGATAACTTTTTCATTGGTGTCAATGATGATGATCGTTCCAGTGTTATGATGATGATTATGATGAAATGGTGGTTAGAATTAAAAGAAGATAATGATGATGATGT